ATGAATGAATTATGTCTCCTAAATACCTTGAGCAGAGGCAACTGTCAGCCAGCGTCTATACTAATCTGGGACAAAATATGACCAGCTCCGCATTAAAAGGGAGAGAGCAGGGCTGCTAGAGAATGAGGCGAGAAATGAACGAGCAATCAGGCCATTAAAATGTGCTGTCTGATTCAGCTTTGGTGGACATTTGCACATTTATCATGAGATGGATATATCCTTCCCCCCTTTTGTTATTTTAATACGGCCCCTTCCATTGAAATAGATTAGGATTATTCCAACAGGACAGAGATATCATTTGTTTTACAATAGCCGAGTCAGCACTCACAACAGTCATTAGGAATTAGATCAAGCAGGGCCGCTGTTTGGAGGGACGCTTCGCAAACTGAAAAGAAGGATACAATTAATGGCACTTCACTTCAGGAGGTGGGATGTTAAACGCCTGTTCTACCCCGAGACGGAAAGACAGATGGCTTATACGAGACGCCGGGGCAAACCAAATAAGAGCCGGGCCTGTGTGTGGGAAGTTCAGCGTGCATGAAAACACATCGGGTCACTCACCTGGTGATGATTATATTCGTAGAGGAGGTCAAAGACACTGTCACCTTGCTATTGTTCTATCTTCTGGATATCTGGGAATGCGTTGTATTACCTGTGGGAAATGTATTTTTCAGGCGGCGGTTCAGAGACGACCTGGCATTGAATCGGGGGCCGCAGGAGGATCGCTGCTTCCCTCTGAAACACAGAGGGCTGCAGGCAGGAGGAGGCAGCAAGGACGCTGGAGCCGCCACTTTGAACAGTTAGAGGCCGCGGTACATTCAGGGTCCAAACACCTAGGATGAGGGGAGAGTATAAAATTGAGATAAGAAATCCAGCCAATACAAATAAGGACATACGCAGAATTTACACTGCTCTAAAGTCAAACAGGAAAATGTGAATTAAGAGGTTGGACAATAGAGCAATGAATATATTTATCAATTGGAAAATCAGAAAGCCATTATTCGTCCCACAGTGGGGAAATGTATAGCGTCACAGCAGCAAAGTTACAGATACAAGCTAGATACAAGGAAAAAGAAGGGCCTTGAAAATTAAATACAAAAATTAAAGATGTTGAAATCTGTAGCGATGAAGATTTTGAAACAACTTTTGGATCAATATTCTTTTTTAAATTGGTTCCAGACATGTTTTAAGACATATAAAAACACTCCCCTATTGAAATATACATCTAGGATAAGCAAATATTCTCATTTCAAAAGTTGAACAACAGATGGTTTTAACATAAAAAGATAAATATTTTCTTTACAACCTAGGGATGTGCAGCAAAATATATTTTGGTGAAAAGTTAAACAGTTTGTTTTGATATGTGGTCATTAGGCCTACTCGTGTAAAGTGCATGTTGCCTACCAAACTGTGTTGAAGGCTACATACAAGTCTATAAATCAGTTTGAAAGAGAACAGAGAAACGTTCCTGCTTTGGTTGTGGACAGCCCTTTAGTGCACATATAGTGAAACTCAAACGAACATGTTGGGGGACTTTATATCTGTACACAGTTTTAAAGTACATTTAACTTTTTAATACAACAGCCTTGCAATAACACTGAGAGGTTCTCTAATTCTTATATATCGTCTATCTCAATTATATCAATGAGGGTCGACCATAGACTGTATATATAAAGGGGTCGACGCAGAACAAACAAGACAGCAGCACAAAACAACACTACAGCGTGCAAACATGACCAAAGTGGTTCAACACATCTTTAAACAGATCACAGAACAGGTGCAATAAAAACAGAATACAATAACATTCATGAAGGAATTGATGTACTCTATTAGTTTAAGCTAGGTGTAGGCCAACTTAACAAAGTGCAAATGAGTGGGCTTTCTTCTGAGGACGGCCAGAGGACGACAGTTTTCATGGTGGGTTAAAGTTTTCAAGTATTAGAGAGTAATGTACTTGACTTGATTTCGTCTTAATTTCAGATGTGATGTGATTTAATAAGGATAATATAAGCAAGATACTTAATCAAAACAAGTGTCTTTACCTCGACATGAACACGACCATCGTCACCTGGTGTGGAAACACTCTGAATGGCGATACTGCCCTCTAGTGGCAAAACCCAGTAATGGAGACAGTGAAATACATAAATGTTTTTCCTGTTGTTTAAATCTGGAAATAATCTTTATGTTGTGGGTTTTTTTATGTATGTAACATGTAGAGAATAACCTGATTGTTAACGCAACTTCAACCCTTGATGAGGTGACCAAGATTTTATTAAAATTAGAGAAAACTTATGACTTAAAATGACGGATATCCTGTTGTCTTGACAAAGTTATTTTGTATGTACCATGCTACAGGATGCATTATTTATGTTTGCTTACATCAGAAGCAGTAGTGGAATTTGTACAAAGTACATGTACTTAAGTATTTAAGTATTAACGTTCTTTAATTGAGTATTGTTATACTTCCCTACGTTTTGAGAGGCACTATTGTACTTTTTGTCCTCTACAATTGTCAGACAGTTTTAGTTACTTTTTATACAATACAGATTCATATTATAAGCTAATACAAATACAATTATAAATAAACATTAACATATATTTATAGGTTAACATAGCCAGCAGCCGTATATATAAAGTAATTAAAATAAGCTCCACAATTACCAGCTGTGATGAACACATTAATGCATCAATAATCACAATCCAGTCATTAAATATATATCATTCTGCATAACGTGTACTTTTACTTTCTATGCTTAACATAGGTAACATTAAGCTGTCTGTGGCTCTTTCCTGCTGTAACGATGCAAATGTCCCCTCCGTGGGACTAATAAAGGTATTCTGATTCTGATTCTGAAGTATATTTTGATACCAATACTTTTGTACTTTTAATTAACTAAGATTTTGAATGCACTTTTACAGAGTATTTGTACAATTAAGCATTGCTACTTTAACCTTAGTATACAATCTGACTCCTCTACCACCTCTGCCTAAAAGACTCCATTAGTAGCCTAGTCGTTTCTAATTTCACTATTACTGCTATCTTCTCTCCAGCAGGTGGAGTTATCTCACTTTAAGTAACTCTATCTCCATCAGTGGAGCTGGATTCTTTTATAAGAAGCTTCACGAATATTGTAATATGTATTATTATACAACAATAAAAGTGTCAGCTGAAATGTAATTTATTTATTTAGCTGTTGTATGTGATTCCAGTTCATTGTATGCTCACTGAACACGCTCCTCGTTCTGATGGCAGCTATTTGCATAAAAGTAATATACTCCGCCGCAGCCTTTTGTGATTCATTCAGCTCTCAGTGACACTCGTGTGATTATGAGCCCTCAGCCTCAATATCATTATTAAACTCGCAAATTATGACTTTAATGAGTGGGGTGTGATAAAAAAAAAAGTGCCTCGCACATTTCTCTTTAAATCACCATGGGATCATTACAATAAAGAACAATAAGAAAGAAAGTAGTGTGTTTTATATGTTTTGTGCATGTAAATGGTCCGCAAAGGCTAAAATCCCAAAGCTTTCTCTCCCACACACTCCCCCTTGGCCCGAAACCCCATAATAGGGCCCCTTTAAAACAGTTTTCGTAAAAAGATGCCAATATACAGTGTAAGATTATTATTGGTAAAAAAGTGTAAACTATTTTAAGAGTGCTCCATTTGTGTAATCTTACCATCGTGTCTTCTGTTTTATGCAAACATACACTGATCTGTCTTAATATTTAATATAGTGTAGTCATCAATAATCCTTCCCTTTACAAGCATGATATAATTGTCCATGTCCATCATATCGGGGTGGTGAATGGATCTGATTGGATTAAAAGTTGGTGTGATATTCAAATCACATAAATGAGACTGACAACCATTGAGAACACCTATTTCATTGGCTGATAACATTCAAACCAGGTGACCACTATGAATCATAACTGGACAATAGATATCATGTAATGGCTGCTAACTATATCACTTGTCTGAATTAATATTCCACTGTGTCAACCAGCCCTGCACTAAATTCATTTCACTTATCCATCCTTCAGAGCAGCATGATCTCATAGTTACTGAAATGAGCTCAGGTTATCAAAACATGTCATCGTCGCTTATGGAAACACTGCAGTCATATTTCTAAATCACTAGTTAACCGCAGACATTCACACGGCCTGCTTGCAGCCAGTCTTAAAGCAAGAACAGCAAGCAGTGTCTGTCCTGTTATCTTTTCCAGTGGGTGAGTTGTCTGTGGGGATCACACTGTGTGTCTTTCTGTGTTTGTGGACATCAGTTATATAATGATGAGTAAACAGAGCTTTCGCCTCTGCCAGCATCTGTTGGTTGAGATGCCAAGTGATGGGCAACATGTCAGGAAGGAGCTGTTTGCACTGCCGCAGCTGGCTTTTCTTAGATAACAATTTCATTATCTCCGCATGACGTGTACCTTCGTTACGTAGCCCGACATGTATGTGCTTTTGTGTTTTTTATGGTGTTGTTAAGCTGCATGCTACACAACGAGTTAACTTCTTTAAAGGGGCCCTATTGTGTTTATTTTCAGGTTCCTATTTGTATGTTGTGCCTCTAATGTGACATGTCTCCATGCTTTAATGATGAAAAAGCTCTTTATTTTTCTCATACTGCCTGTGCTGCAGCCCCTCTTTTCACCCTCTGTCTGAAACCAGAGCCCAGTCTGCTCTGATTGGTTAGCTGGCCGGCTCAATTGTGATTGGTCACAGCTTAAAGGTGTCCCGTCACTTAGCCTACAATGTGTTGGAGCGCTAGCTTATAGATGCTTGAGTGTAATAGTGATGTCACTATGTTAAAGGAAGTAAAGAAAGGAGTACAATGGAGGCGTTTCCCTCTGGATGGCACAGGGATTTTAACCTTTGCAGACCATTTGCACAAAAACCTATTCAACACAGGAAAGGGAAAAGCCCCAAAAGCATAATAGCCTTTAACCTTTAAATCCTCACCAAGGTTCTTGAACAGAAACACCACATACAGCTGATGATCAAATAACATTTCAGCTTTATTTATAAAAAGGAAAGATGCCACAAACATGTATTGACGTCTGCAGCAACAACGACACATAATAATAATTTGTTCTTGAATACCCATCTGGACACAACAGATTACTCACTCAGCAGCGGATGCAAGCATTTAAAAGCAAAAATATAACACTTCTCTTAAAGCGTGTGAAAAAAACACATGGATGGTTATTTAGTTTACACAGGAACAGCTTTCATGACTCAGAGAAGCTTGGCTGGATATTTTCTCTTTTAAAGGAGGTTGATAAGTACTAACCACAGTCGATCCAGTGGGTGTTTTTAAAAGAGAAGTACGCAAACAGGCACTTTAATTAAGGTATCATCTCCTGTTTCTGGCAATGTACATCCTGGGATTTAGCAATACAAGTTCAACCACAAACTGGAACACATTGAAGAAGCTACAATCAGAGAGGTTTAGCACATCACATTTTACTCTGCAGTCTTGGACATTCATCAGGGTCTTTTTTTCCCTCTTTAAAAATGGCAGTCAAACCAAACATTTCCATACTTGAAATGTAAACACTTGTTTGCAATTGCACTGTGCTATAGTCACTCTGATGTCAAAGCCTACCATTTTATAGATGTCCCAACATTTTATCTTTACAAGGTCTTCTTTTTCATTATTGCTTGCCTCTTTTACCTGCTAGGCCACTTCTGTTGTTACACTGTCAATGTTCCTCTTCTGGGGAACTAATAAACGAATTCTGATTCTGTTAACAGCAAAAAATAAAGCAAACATCAATGCTCAGAAGAAAGTCCATGCTATGTAGAGGAAGTGTTCTGCAGCATCTGTGTGGGACTGCTCAGCTTCCTGTCAGAGGTCACGGCGCCCTTATCTCCCGTGACACCCTGGCCTGACATCTCAGACATGTGCAGCTCCCCGGCTTCATCCTGGCAGCCGGCGTCCCCCCCGCGGCTGCAGCTGGACTTGTGAGAGGAGCTGGGGGGAGTTGGTGGGGCTGAGCTGGACGGCCGTGGTGTCCTGCAGCGTGTGCTCGCTCGTCTCCATCTCAAAAGCTGCCGTCCCCATCCTCATCAGCCCCCACTTCTCGCCTCCTTTAGCCTTGCGGGCCATGTTTGCCGGAGGTCTCCTGCTGCGCACACAGCAACCCTGTGAAAAAGCCCAATGCTATCAATAAAAGGAGAGGTCCGATGATGATTGGGGGGTTTCCTGAAGGCATGAAGGTGCCAAAGGCGAAGGCTCCCACCAGGGTGATGTTGATGCCGGCCAGCATGATGCACAGGCCGCAGGCGCAGCACAGGGCCGGGGAGGGCAGGCTCTGCTGCATCAGAGCCGCGTCTGGGGGTCTTCTTGGGGGGCACATGGTTTGGAGGTTTTTTCAGGTAGCACCATGTCTCGTGAAAAGATTTCTGAGACCCACAAAAGATCAGATGATGACTGAACTCATCGCCTAAGAGAGAGATGAGGGTGATGATGAAGAGGCTGAAAATGGAGGGCAAATGTAAGAAGTTGTAAACGCTTAAAATATTTTTTCTATTTTGAAAATGAAATACATTTTTTTATTTGATCTTTAATTTGATTTCAAAAGTTATTCCGAAAATGCTTCAAAACATCTCCATACATGATTGAATCGCAACAAGTAAGAAAAAAAAGAAACACATAGTGCATGTTGGCAATAACATGCACTATGTGCAAAACGGCAGCTATCATTAGAACAGAAAACATAACACTTGAATCACAACTACAATTTTCTTAACTACTGCTGCCAGACATGTACAAATACAAATTGTACAAAGAGACATTTAAAACACACACACAACAACATTGTTTTGCCCTGCTGTCAGTGTCACTTACCTCAGATCAGAGCATCATGTTGTGCAGGAGTCTGTGAGATCTGTCCCCTCCTGCAGGTGAGCTGGCAGAGTGAGAAGCTGCTGACACACCACAGCTCGTTATAATGAAAATGGACCACTTGGGGTGCTGCAGAGCTCTGAAGCAAACCTTTCTAACCAACAATGGCAAAGAAGTGATTAAGTGGGTGCATGTGTGTACTGAATACATAGGCCTATGATGCATTGAGGAATATCTGAGCAGTCTGTAGACATTCAAATACACATGGTGGTGTTCATGTGTTATTACTGCTTCTTTAAAAGTAAGATCAAACCATGATAAAAGTATATTTGCTGTTAGCAAGAGAGGAGAGCTCATGCAGGAAAATGCTACCCAGATACTCAGCTAAATTTAGGAATCCAAACTATAACATATAATAAGTACCCTGTATCAAGATTGATGCCAAACAAGGGACATTTGACCTTTTTAGAGAGATTTAGCAACAAAAAAAACACTTCTGGGGTCATTTGGGTGGATTTGACCTATCTCTGGCCCCCCTCGGTCGATGAGGGGGGGCTTGTGTTTGTTTCGGTAAACATTTTCATATTGTCAGTTAGCTTAGTTTCTTCCCGTTAAGTGAGTATGACACATTCATAGTTTATTACATTTTAAGAAGCCCTGAGACACAGTTTCGTGAAAAAAAGCCTGTTAAGCAAGTTCAACACTAATACCTAAACATTTGGATAAAATGATTAATATGTTAAACAGCTTTAGAAAGTTTGAAGACATTTTTTGTCATGTTATTCCTTCGATAAATGGCTACATGACAATTTGACCTAAGGGGGGTTATACCATTTCAAAATGTTTGATTTTGATAAGGTAGTATTTGACATATTTCTTATACTTTGTGTTGTATTTTGAACATGTATGGGAGTGTAACGCCAAGGTGCCAAACTAAGCATCTGTGAGGATGGAGAGTGACAGACCATTTAGATAACATAGGATATGGTAACAGACAAACAGGATGAAAAACAACTTTTCAAAATTCACATTTAGTCTTACAGGAAGGTTGACCAATGTTAACTTTAATACCAACTTCTGATTGATGATTAATAATAATCAACGGGGGAATGTTATGGCAATTATGGTATTAAAGCTTTATACAGTGGAATCCTAATGAAATGTAACTGCTGTATCCTGGGAATGGCATGTCAATGGATGTGTGATTACAGATCTGTTCACAAATGTCAGGTTTGGGGAAAATAGGACCCAAATGCAGAAAAAGGACTAAAAAAGGTAGGTAACAAAAAGCGAGCTTTATTCCAAAAAGCCGATGACAAAAGAAAACAAGAAACCAATTAACACTAACAAAACTGGGGAGCACGACAGACAGGAACAAACTTACAGGCGGGAACAGGCAGGAGACATGGACTTGCATAGACGAGCATAGGCGAGGCAGGGAACAAGGACATGAAGAGACAAGGTAGCATGGACATGGAAAGACGACGAACAGACATGGAGCACAGAACAAGGACAAGACACAGCTGGGCAGGGGAGGCAGAAACACAAGGGCAACACAATCAGACAATCAGACACGTCAGGGAAACTAAAGACAGGAAGGCAAACACAGGAAGTAGGACCAGACAAGACACAAGGAGGAAAACATTTCAAAATAATAAAGGTGGTAAATGAAAACAACAAATCCAAAACCATGACAACAAAGGGTTTTATGACACTACAGGAAGACCAGGGGGTAAGGAAGACATTTGCTCTAGGGGGGTAGCTGCGACACCCAATTGTTCTTTGTAGGGTGTGAGTTTTGCCTACTGTCATAGGGCGACCACCTGGACCACATGTTGTTGTGTTGTCATGTACATTATCTTCGCTATAAGAGTTGCTGTCACACACAGAACAGGACACACTCTGAACAAGTCGTCACGCTTGCAAGCATTAAACGAAGATCTTAATTTATATCAATATTGTGTTTCTTTGCATATTTGCCTAACTCATCATTTTCTTGAGAAAGCAGTTTGATTTTAGTTGCTACGACCAGCTCATATCTCCTCGAATCTGTTCACAGCTGCAAACATCAGCAAAGGAATTTTGAGCACCCTTCCCGTGACGACCTGCGCAATCTTTTCCCCGGCCCAGAAAACATTTTCGGAGAAAAGCGGGTTTGGCATGCCTGTCATGCTGAATTGGATGAGGGTCAGTCTCAATATGAATGGGGACAATAAGATTGCTGCAGGACAGAGGCAGCAAGAAAACTTCATGGGTAAGTGTTTGAAGCATCCAGTTGATTACAATAATGTTTGATGTTCTGCATTTGTAATAGAGTTTCCAGGTGGGAGACATTCCGAGAAGCGATGAGTTGGTCAGCGAAGTGACACAGAGGAATCAAGTGGCTCGACAATCATTCTAGATCAGTTCTCGGATGGAAGTAGCATTCCAGACTCGGCAGTAAATAAACTTGTAAGTTCAAGCCTCGGAATTACAAATGTGCCCTTGTGTGGTGTTCATATTTCTGATAGACTTGTGATGGTCACAAATATCACATAATAGTCACATAATTGGGTATTGTAAACAACACAAAACAATTATGTGAGCCCCTGGTGAGATTTCACATTTAATCATTTTGGTTTTATTGCAATGGTCAAATAAGATATATCAAGTGTGAGTCGAAGTGCTCCTGCCATATGTGCTTGGGGCACACGTCAACATAGAGACCTAAAGCATTGCAACTCAAGTGTGTTGTAGCCTTTCTACTTCCTATAACACCTATTAATTTCAAATATTGTGTGATATTTTTAATTCTGTGTATTTGTATTTTACACTTAGAATAGAATGCAGGAGTCGACAGTCCAGACACTGAGAGTCCAGCAACCAAGGCCAATCCCAACAGCACCCCTACAGGCTCTGTGTAAGGAAAATACATCTAACAATGAGTCGTCTCTCAGCTCTGCTTATGTACCAAGAAGAAAATTCAAAAAACGAATGGGGGTTTAACTGTTTGTTGAATGTTCATGTTTTTAAAGGTCACCTATCATGCTATTTTTAGGCAATAGCATAGGTCTCAGATATATAAAAATCATCCATGTCCGCATCGTAGAAATTATTAATTTTAAACACCCCTAAGGCCTATCTTATTATGCTGTATTGGATGGGGTGGGACATCTATTTGTTCGATTGAATTGAAGTGGGGAGAGGTGCATTTATTGGCTTCAGATTTTTTCTACACAGTCGAGCTACTGAAAAGCTTGTTGGAGACCCCTGGTCTAAACATACATCTGCAGCTTATTAAAATATGCTTAAGGTTCAGGCTCTCCTTTAAAACACATTACCAGACTTTTAGAGATTTTTGCAATAATATGGTTATTAGTATTTCAGCTTTTGTATGTTTACTTTAACTCTATTAGATACCTACTTAGCGTCCCTAACTGATTTGTTGAGATGTACTATGCTTCCTGTCAGTATCAGACTAACAATAAAATGATTCAAAACTGTCTTTTGATAGCATCACTGAAACAAACACGTACACTCACAAACATCTGCTGCAACACTTCAGAAACACTTCCCGTATTTTCAGACCGATGGCTATTGATGTGTTTTCTGAGATCATGGAAATCACTTTAAAAAAGGGGAAGTGGAAGTGAGCTCATTTCTGCTGCTGTCGTAGAAATATCAGAACTGAAATGAGTGGCTGTGATAAGACTGCGAGACGCGATGCTCTAAAGAGGAATGGTGAGTATCACAAACAATTTGGTGATACATCTGGTGGTTTCTTTCTTTCTTTCTTATAATTTCAGCTCAACTCCTAGCAAAGTCACAAGTAATTTGTGTCCAAATAAAGTCCAAGCAAAGTTGCAACCCTTTGATTTTGTCGAGTCCAATTTGGGACTCATGTCTGACTTAAGTCCAAGCATAGATGTATAAGAAGTGGAATCATATTGATATCTCTAAAGTTTTTTGTTGTTATTCATATAGTTTCACATTATCATTATTATCATATGGCTTGCCTTTGATATTGTTTAATTTGTACACAAGACATCTATTCCACGTCTGTCTGTCTTCAGGGGTTAAAACCGTCCTCAGCTCTCCCTGTAGTTCCTTTTGTTCCCCATTAATTATGGTCTTATCTTGTTTTATGCAACCAGAAGTAACAGGAGAGGGCTGATCGAAGTATAATGCTGAACAAGATATTTTTATGCGACCAAAATGTTACAATTAACTTTCATGAAGTACAAAACACACACACCTACTGTCAAGGCATCTTCTTCTCACTAAGCAGGGGTCGGCAACCCGCGGCTCTTTAAGCCCTCTGCTCTGGCTCCCTTGAGCTTAGACAAAAATAAGAAGGAAATAAAATAAAAGTATTTGTAGGACTATTTATATTTTGTTGCACGGTTTGAAAATGTTTCGTATCTTGTATTTTGAGGTGATACTGTGACACGTAAATAAAAAAGAAAACGTTTTTTATTAGGTCAACTAAAATATGCGCAACATCCTGCGACGGTCCCGCACCAGCGGCATTTTCTTGCAGGTGAATAACCGACCCTCCCCCTTCATAATTCAATCAGTTAACTATTTTTAGGGTGCAGCTATGTTTTATTTATTTCAAAGTGGGTCAATTTTAATTGTATTTTTTTTTTCCTTCAAATGTGCTGGGTTACATTTATTTTAAAGTAGGCCTGTGTATTTCTTTTTATTCTACCTTATAAGAGTTCTTTGTTTGTTATTAGAGGTTAACAGTTTTATATAATGTAATAAATAATAAATGCAAAAAACTGTAGTATTTGTCTATGATATAACAATAAATACAACTTTATAAGCTATCAAGCTATCAAATATGTTTTGCGGCTCCAGACAAAGAAAATGGTTGGAAAAGAGGCAAAAATGGCTCTTTTGGTCAAAAAGTTGCAGACCCCTGTCTCTAAGCAAGAAAGTGAACACAAATATCAAGCTATTACTTTTCAGATAAAATGACGTTGTGTAATGGGTTGTGTTGTCCCTCTACAGATTTGGACTCTTAAATTCCATTACTGGCAACAAATCTCAACCTGGCAGTATCTCAACAAGCAAACCAGCCATGGGGGGTTTGTCCTTAATGCAGAGGACTTCTTGTCTTATCTACGTTTTCTCCTGCTACAGACTAGCCTTTCACTGGCATATTCTCTGAAAAACTGTTCCATCAATATTCTGAGGATGCCTTGGCAGATGGTGTTTTGGATTGCTCAAACCGTAAACTTGTTTCCATCCCTGATGACATTCCCAGCCATGTGAGTTCAGTAAAACTATCAGAGAATCTGGTTGAACAGATTAACAGGGAAGTTTTGGAAACTTGTCAAAGCTGAACATGTTGTTCCTGAGCTTCAATCATATCAACTATGTGGAGGACGGATCTTTCATCCATTTGTGTGCATTGACCCAGCTCGACATGGAGAATAACAAACTGACCGACCTCACTGGCAAGCTCTTCCAGGGACTGTCCAACCTTACCATGCTATCCCTCAATGGAAACAACATTCAGTTTATTCATACCTCTGCCTTTCAGTTCCTGTCCAGCTTACAACAGTGAGGCTAGACAGGAACAATCTCCAACAAGTCTCTGACCTTCTGCCCATCCTTCAGCTGCCAAACATACAGAAGCTGAGCATTGGATATACTCCATTTTCCTCCTTTGAGGACCAAAGATCTTCCATTGAATGTGTCCTCAAGCCTGAAGGTGTTAGATCTTTCTAATAGCAAAGTTGGAGAAGTTCAGCATCACAACAGATATCTTTCCTTACCTTGAGATGATCAACCTTAGTGGAGTGGCATAGATTCTGGTCTAAATGGGCTGTACCTGACAAGACTTTACTGAGGAACATAACTCAACTGTATTTTGGTCACCCTTTGATTGCCTTTGAAGAATTACGAAAAATCTTGGAGAGCCTTGACTCATTGGTGCATCTTAGACTTATTATATGGATGAATTGATCCGCAAAGCATTTTAGCTACTGTTTGCAAAATACCAACACTTAAAAAGCTAGTTCTATATTTCAACCACGTCCCCAATTTAAGCTCACAACTTGTAGATTGCCGCCACCCTCAGTGAGCTTGATCTATCTAATACTTACATGAGGGAACTGCCTGAGGGCAAGATACGATTTATGAAGCAACTGAGGTTTTTAACTCTACAGTGCAACCTCCTTACCAAAGTGCCTGATGATATTCATAGTCTCTCCTCCCTCAAAATCCTCAATCTTGGAGATAATCTAATTTCTGATTTGAGCTGTAACGATTTCATAAACACAACAGGCCTCTCAGAGCTTTATCTGGATTCCAACCACATTGTCAAATTGGACAGATGTGTCTTGAAAATCTTAATGAACTGAATATTTTAGATTAAGTGACAACCTGCTGTGGACATTGGGAGGTGTCTTCAAAAAAGGTCTTGCCGAAGCTTGAGTTCCTGGATTGAGCAAGAACAATTTGATTATTCTTGAAAATGAGGATTTTCAAGCTTTAGGATCCTTAACATTTTTAAATGTAGTGTCAACTCATATTGGTAGGGTGAAACGTAGGACTTTTCTCGGACCATGAACAACTTAAGAAACCTTACTGTATCTATTCCCCTTGACTATGAAACCCATTTCAGAGGAACAGGGCCGTTGGAACATCTTACAATCTACCTCTTTATCGACGGCAGTTTCAAAAGTCCTCTTCCAAGGCATCATGACGCTTTCTACCAGTTAAAATGTTTAAAAGTTCTTACTATAAAATGCAAAGGTTATCACTTTGGCCTCCCCTTGACATACCGTTGGAAATGCTCCAGGCTATGAAACATTTAGAGGAATTTACAGCTGAGAAATCTACATCTCCGCCCCAGACCCAGAAACATTCCAATTCAATCCCCAGCTCAAGAGTCTTACCATCGGACAGACTGACTTGTCAGATTTGCTTCCTGAACTGTTTGAGCCAATACCAAACCTTCAGGTTCTCGATCTCTCTGAGTGTCAGATCAAGTCTTTGGATTTTTTGACCCAGGTCAACCTGCCTGCACTTAGATGTTTGAAACTGAGGGACAATGAGATTACAGTGATCAACGAGACAATCTTCCAGTCCCTCCCTGCACTAACATACCTGGACCTGGAAAACAATCCTTTCACCTGTGACTGCTCTAACGCCGGCTTTATCCAATGGGTGAGGAGCAACAACCAAACTCAGGTTGTTAATGGCCATCAGTATACGTGTTCCTTTCCTGTGGCTGAACAGGGAAACAAGTTGCTGGACTTTGACATCCAGTCCTGTTGGATGGACGTGAGCTTCCTCTGCTTCATTTCCAGCTGTTGCATAACTTTGGTGACACTCCTCACATCGTTCATCTACCACTTTCTGAGGTGGCAGATAGCTTACACCTTCCACCTCTTCCTCGCATTCCTGTATGAAAGCAGGAGGAGGAAGAAGGGAGCTCCTAATCAATACGACGCCTTCATTTCCTACAACATTCACGACGAGGCCTGGATTTGCAGAGAGATGCTGCCGGTGCTGGAAGGAGAGCAGGGCTGGAAACTGTGTCTGCACCACAGAGACTTCCAACCAGGTAAACACACACAACTCACACACAAATCACTCATATCTATCCCTTTCTGCTCTATGTAAATCATTTATTAAAAATAACCACTCATTAAACCTGCATTTCTTTGGATAAAATGCAAAAATGTCCAAGTTCTGGACAGAAAAACTAGTCAAACCATCAAAATTAAATATGTTTCTGAATTCCTGAAGAATGTATTTTCTTTGCAACACATGCAGAAATGGTGTAGGTTGTTATACTGTGTCACTTAAGGGGGGAAAGTCAGGTGATCTTTATGCTTCCTGTAAGAACATCATTGGAAAGTGCTTTTATGAGTGCATACAGAGAAGTCATTACATGTACAGTATACATCACTGTTTCTGTCCAACCAACACAACTCCCTGATTGGGTGAAGTTTATTCCAGAAGTAACCCTAATGTTGTATTTTTTAACTATTATTCTTTGTGCCTTCATTAAATGAATTTCATGTAACATTGCTTGAAATTCATTATGAAATAATGAAATATATTTATTAATACTGTAGCTTTCAATCTGTTGCTTTTTTAACTTAACTAAGTTTGAGGAAATGTATGACCAGGGGACATGGAACACGCATAAACTACATCTGCCACGCTCCATTCGGCAGCAGGTTACACATTAAAATGGATCAAAATGGATTGTTTTATTTAATGAAGGAGATGAACACATAAAGCTAAAAGCTACAGTTTTGAAAGTCAAGTGCTGTTTCAAATCAAGTGCCTTTTCTGATCATTCTTAAGGACTTCTACAGAAGTGAGGAAACTAAACAATATCTCCATTGGTACTTTCACTTAAAGTGAATAAAGTCTTCAACAGAGGTTTGTGTTCAAACCAACCATTTGATTTGATTCTGCTGTCAGAATTAGGGGTTCATTATCTGATTGTCTGTGTCCTCTGTTCCTCTTCCTCTTTACTCCTTCCTGTCATAGTATTGTGCATGCAGAGCAGATACAGTACCAAAAGGTATTTGCATCACGCTCAAAGGTTTCACATCGTTTTTCCCACTGAAGGAAAGCGGGCGTCTGGTACACATTAGCCCGGTCTCAATTCAGGGGCTGCATCCTTCGGAGGTGCATTCGTAGACCGCATGTATTGTATTGAAGTCAATGGCGAGAGAAACGTATCTTTCGACCCGTTTGAATTGTGCCATGAACATTGTACACATATGTCAATCTTAAAAAATCCTTTCCATGTCAAAAAAGTCACAGTTTCTCGTAAAACTGTTGAAATATAAGACTATGAAAAATACACAACTAGAAAGACTACAAATCCCAAAGTCGCGTAAGTGATGTCATCATTGATGTCATAATTGTTTTCCTCCACTAAATAGCTAAGATAAGATAACTTTAACAAGATGCCTGTGTGCTTTGTAGCAGGTTGTTATCATACCAGCAATGGGTCTTGCTCGTTCTTTCGCTTCCCTTCTGATGAAAGGACCAGGAGTGGCTGGATCAAGTTAGCTACCTAGCTAGTAGCAAGCATCAGGCACGTGCACACATAGTAGACATCAAAGTGGGCTTGAGCCCCTGCCCTTTTTCTTCCTCCAGAGAAAGTGCCCTTTTTATGGGGTGCTTTTTTTCCATTTTTTTTTCTACTGCTGTTTGCGCACAGTTTCCCTTTCCAAAAATATATTGATTGAATACAAAATAAAATATCAGGTTGGGAGATTAGACTGTGAAGTTCCGATGCTCTCTCTACCCTCCCCTCCCTCCCTCCGTCACGTCTCGCGCACAGCGGTGCGGACAGTCATCGGCAATCACATACAGGTAGCAGTACCTCCCACTTTACTGTCCCATGTTATGCCGGCTTTTCTTGGCTTATTTTGAAGGTGACTGTGATGAACAAATTACTAAACTGCCAGTGCCTCGAGTTTACAGCTAATTAGCCACAAAAAAAAACAAATATAGTTAAAGTAGGGTACAGCTAATGGATAAGTTAGCTCAAGGTTTAGCTAAGGCAATTTATCATGGGCATACAGGCTAATATAGGCCTACTGTACTTAAGGGGAGACACTAAGGTGAATACAGTACAATGTGTATCTAATAACGTCATCACAATCGCCACATTGAATGCAAAGTAGGCGTTAACTAGGCCTAATTAAAATGCGCAAATGTGCATGCAGTTACCAAGGCATTGCAGGTGAAAAGGATAAAAAACATAGCACCTCACAACTTCCCCAGATAGTCCTTACTCAGTTCCCAAATGTTATGTTTAAATGCAGATTAGCTTTATATCTATAGATGAATTCAGACATAACGATCTTTTTGCCTGTAATGTCCTGCCTTAAACAGTAACTTCATAATTTTGATTGCTGGCTGCTCATTTAATAACTATTAATTGTACTAGTTTGTTGTCTGCTCTTGTGCGTTGTGAATACTAAAGAAGACCATTGTCTCTGTGTTAACTGATTATTTTGTAGAATTCTGTTGAGTATCAAACAATTGTGTGAGTGTAGGGTATTAAAATAAATTGGTCAGTAAATCAGAGATATGCAACTATATTTAACTTTTTGTTTTAAAGCATTTTTTATAAATGATTATGGGAAGTGTCCTTTTTCTCACTTGAGCTCCCCCCCCCAAAATGTCTGTGCACGTCTCTGGCAAGCACGTTAGTTAGCATTACAGCCTTAGCTTTAACATTAAGTAACCCAAAATGTTAAACAGTAAGAGTAGTAGTCATATTTCGTGAACTCTTTGAAGAGTACTGCAAAAAAGGAATTTTAAGAAAGTAAAAAAAACTTGTTTCTGGGAAACAATTCTTATTTTTCGTCTAAAAAGTCAAATAATCTTCTTAAGAATGTTTTGCTTAAGAAAAGTATTCTTACTTTGAGAAAATATATCTGGATTTTTCTTATTTAAAAATTCTATCTTATATTGAGCTAGAATTAACCAGTAACAAGTTAAAGTATTGGTTTGCATAAATTCCCGGCATGGAACAGATTAATTTTTTCTTTTTAAGAAATTAACCATCAAACAACTTCTCAATTTAAGAATCTGATGAAATGACACCAATTTTACATTTCATATATATTTAAATAATAAATAATTCTAGCTCAATATAAGGAATTCTTTTCAAATTCTTAACAAATTATTTGACTTTTTAGACGAAAAATAAGAATTGTTTCCCAGAAACAAAAATAAAAAGTAACACATTTTTTTGTGTGAAACGCTCAATGAACTACGTCTCTGGTCTTGCACACGTCACCAACACCAAGACGGCCGTCACGTTAGCACATTTCACCTCTTTCTTTCAGAATGAGGCGAAAAGTATTAAAAGAGGTGAAAATCACTACAAGTCTGGGCATGTTGAGAGCTGTACATACGAAAAAGGGGAGTTAGTCGGTTCCGTAAGAGCCAGCATGCGGGACCGGCTTTACAAGGTTTCTGTGAGTAACACGAGTGTAATGTGTAACGTTAATGACATCACTTACGCGACTCTGGGATTTGTAGTCTTTCTAGTTGCGTATTTTTCATAGTCTTATATTTCAACAGTTTTACGACAAACTGACTTTTTTGACATGGAAAGGATTTTTTAAGATTGACAAACATCATGTGTAATTCGTGGCACAATTCAAATGGGATCGAAAGATAATCTTTCTCTCCCCATTGACTTCAATACATAATTTTTCCGAAATAAGGTCCCATGGGGCGGAAGTAGAAGGGAGGGACTTCGCCTCGCAATAGCTATTGAGACCACTGGAGGCGTGTGGCGCACTGGACTAGTGCGTTGGTGTCATGGATGTATAATAAGAACTGGATACAGCGTGGGAGGCGGGGTCTCGTTCTTTCCTATGAGAGCTGCTCGTTGGCGCATGAGGACAAAATGGCCCAACTTTTGAGAGAGCGAAACGTCACAGATTACCCGTCATGCCTGGCTGTCAGAGCAGAAGTACCCGTATGTGCGCTCATAGAGAATGCGCAGTTGAGTTGCCCCTTAAGCCCCGCCCCCGAGGAAGCTGAGGAAAATAACTCAGAATAACGTTATTAGCACATTTTACAACTTGAGGAACGAATGTTTTTAATAAGGGCTATACAAATGTTCATACTGGGTAGTTTATTTAGTTTAAAAAAAAAAAAATCCAACGATTTACAGACGTCTCTTTCCCAATGTAAGTCAATGGGAAAAAGTATTTCCGGGCCCAGCGACCGATACGGAAGTGTAGTACCGCCGTTTGGCCACAACGAATATTTTCCTCAGAGTCCGGCGCACTTCCTGGGGGCTTGGTTGGTGTTCGGATCAGGGGAGCACAGGTTCAAACCCCACTGCAGTGAGCTTGTCGTAGTGTCCCTGGACACTTCACCCCAAAATGGCTCATGTGGGGATTGCCCACAGTATTGAGTCGCTTTGGATAAAAGCGTCTAACACACAAAAATAATGTTTCTGCTGTTTTAATTTAAAGGGGACCTATCATGCAAAATGCACTTTGTGATGTCTTTTATACATAAATATGTGTCCCCGGTGCGTCGGGGAACTCACGCAGCGTCAGAAAATAAAACCCTCTCTCTTTTCCTCCGTACCCAAATCTTTTAAAAACGGGGTACAACGAGCGGATACAGATTTGCTGCCGATTTGACGTCAGATCGGCAGCGGACCCACAGAAATTGCTATCAGAAACAATGCCTGACGTGTTTTGGACGTAATCTCGTCTTTGTTTACATTAGCAAGCCTCGCTAACACTCAGAGCTAACCTGTACTGTAGAGCACATGTGTTTAAAAAGCAGGAAATAAAAAAAGGAACTCACCTTGTGATAAACCCGCAAGAGAAAAGCATTTGAGCTCCATACTGTTTCAGAAATAATCCTTAATGTGGTTTAGAACAGGATAGCGTTTTATCACAGCAGAATTTAACTTTATCTCCGGTATAATTCTAATCAGGCATTAGCTCTGCCTCCTCTCTTCTTCTTTTTTCAAGCTAAGGACCCAAAATCCGCGTTTCTCTAACAGGGCTGCAAAAGAGGGGTATGAGCAGTATGAGGCATGGCTACAATGGGTGATCTGTTTGGTATTTTACGCAAAAAACTTCACAGACATGTTTTGTATAGGTTTTGTATATTTTTCCAATATAGCATAATAGGTCCACTTTAAGATAAATGCACTTATATATTATGCCAATTAAAGAATGTAATTCTTATTGTAAGCTTTATTTGCTGATTTGCATTCTAAGTTTAAGACAAAGTCACTAACATATTGTGTCAATTAAAGGTGGGGTAGGTAAGTTTGAGAAACCGGCTCGAGATACACTTTTTGTTATATTCCATGGAATGCTCTTAACATCCCGATAGCAATGAATATCTTAAGTGCTTTGACAAAAAATCCATACAAAAATGTCATGTGTGGAAGCCGTAGTACTGTAAAAAGCACGACCAATCATTTTAGCCGGCCCGGCTAAAATAACTGGATGGCCTACCTGCCTGTCAGCCTTCCATCTGTGCACAAACTTATCTCGTGCCCTCATTGGTCATGTGGCGTTCGTGTGTGTTGGAGGAGGGGCTCTGTAAGGAAGTGGCAGATTTTTTCCGGCTGTGTATTTTCAAATTCTAGCGCACTCGAGCTGGTTTCTCCAAAATTACCTACCCCACCTTTACATTAAGTGTTAATAACTATGTAAAACTGAGTGGACTATACTTGTAAAAGTATGATTTGTATGCATCTATACTACAATAAAAATACATGTGAAAAATATATATACATATTTGGATTGAATGTGTGACTGAGTGCTGCACAGTGGGGTAAACGTTCTTTATTTCAGCTGCTGGTACAGTGTCTGTTTGGTAATCCTCTTTCGGTTTGAGGAGGAATGTATCCATAGATGGATATTTTTCTTTAACCTGGCATTTCTTGTGCGTTTCGCATTCAGTGTCACTTTAAATTGTATTTGTCTCTGTGCGCGATTGAGAACAATTTCATGCGGCTTCACGCATAAATAAATACATTTCATTGTTGATGGATTGACATCTGACACAGCTAATGGTGATAGCTGTCTCTTATTTTCTAAACAGCTTTGGATTGATGTGCGACTGTCAATCTAATGCGGCACATCGGATAAATGTTTGGGACAAATTATAAACATGCTGTGCAGTCCCGCCCTGAGCGGACCCCTGGTCACCCTATCGATGGGTATAATTTGTTGGCCCCTCCTCCCTGGAGCTCACCAGCCACCTCCAGATTTACGCTAATTTCTGAACTAGCTTTCTCCACTTGCCCTGCTTTATCTGCAGCTTTGGTAGCTTGCTATAGAGCGGTGCAGAAATTAGTCCTGAAACTCTTAAAGCCATCAACTTTTTGAAGGACTTTTTGATTAGGGGCCTGATGTAGTTATTTGATATGCTAACCTCCAGCTTGGCCTAGAAACGTACATCCTCACTGCATCACTCTATTGGATGCATGCTTATGATCTGACACCTGGTCGCTCCTTTCTTATGCTCAGCAAATCAAAAAGAAGAGAGAATTCCATGCAGAGGTCAGGGTCTCTAAGCCACATGGGTTGATTGAAAATACTGTCTTAAGCTGGATTTTTATGTTTCAATGCTTGTGAAAATGGTCTTAATGTGCAGTTGAGAATATCACTGGTGTGTCTGAACTCTCCACAGGGAAGCCGATCATAGAGAACATTACAGACGCCATCTATGGCAGCAGGAAGACCATCTGTGTGATCACCAGGCGCTACCTGCAGAGCGAGTGGTGCTCCAGAGAGATCCAGATGGCCAGGTAATGGCCTCTTTCATTATTCCTTCTTTCTTCAAAGAGGTCCACTAATAGAACAAAACGGATGTGTGCAGAGGATGGACAGGCTGACACAAAGACTTCTCGCCATTATAAAAGAAAAATAAGTGGAAGACATTGTGACCACCAGACAACAACACAAAGCAATTTAAGAAATGTTGAAAGGCAGCCTTTAAAGAGGACATATAATAATAATAATAAATTGAATTTATATAGCGATTTTCAAGTCTCAAAGTCGCTTTACAGTTTGGAGGGTGTGGGAGAAGGACAGACGAAGACGAACGACAGACAGGGATCGATGGGGGGGGGGGGGCTATGAGTGTACTGATGAAAAGAGATGGGTCTTGAGGCGGGACTGGAACAGGGTGAGGGACTCAGAGTCACGGAGGTCTTCGGGGAGGGAGTTCCAGAGCTTCGGGGCTGCCACAGAGAAGGCTCTGTCCCCAAAGCTCCGGAGTTTGGCCTTCGGGGTGGAAAGCAAACCGGCTGAGGTGGATCTGAGGGACCGGGGGGGGTTGGTAGAGGATGAGGAGGTCAGTGAGGTAGGGGGGGGCCAGATGGTGGAGGGCTTTGTATGTGAGGACCAGGAGTTTGTAGTGGATGCGGTGAGAGACGGGAAGCCAGTGGAGTTCTTTGAGGACCGGGGTGATGTGATGCCATGATTTGGTGTGGGTGAGGAGTCTGGCGGCTGCGTTCTGGACATGCTGGAGTCTACTGAGGGAGGTGGAGCTGATGCCGTAGAGAAGTTAGTTACAGTAATCAAGGAGGGAGGAGTTGAAGGCGTGAATGAGTCGCTCAGCTGCCGGGCGGGTGAGAGAGGGACGGAGTTTAGCAATATTGCGGAGGTGGACAAATTAGGTTTTAACTACTTGGCGGATGTGGGGCTCGAGGGAGAGGGTGGGGTCAAATATTATGCTGAAGTTGCATGCCTGGGTGGAGGGGGAAACAGGGGTGCCATCGGTGGTGAGTGTCAGGTTGGGGGTTTTGCTGAGGGTGGATTTGGAGCCGATGAGGAGGAGTTCAGTTTTATTGCTGTTGAGTTTGAGGAAGTTGTGTTGCATCCAGGATTTTATTGCAGTCAGATAGGAGTCGATGTGGGTGGGGGGGGGGGGGGGGGGGGGGGGGGGGGGGGGGGGGGGGTGTGGGGGGGTGTGGGGGGGGGGTGGGGGGTGTTGTTGGGGATTTGGTGCTGAGGTAAATCTGTGTGTCGTCGGCGTAACAGTGAAAGTCCAGGTTGTATTGGCGGAGAATCTGACCAGGGGGAGGATGTAGATGATGAAGAGGAGGGGGCCGAGTACTGAACCTTGGGGAACACCTTGGGTGACTGAGGCTGTGGCAGAGAAGTGGTTGTTGAGGGAGATGAAGTGGGATCTGTCGGAGGGTAGGACTGGAGCCACCTGAGTGCAGTACCTTCGATACCGATGTCCAGAGTCGGGTGAGCAAGATGTTGTGGCTCACGGTATCGAAGGCTGCACTCAGGTCGAGGAGGATGAGGATGTTGAGGGAACCGGTATCAGCAGAGTTGAGGAGGTCATTTAGGACTTTGATGAGTCTCATGTGCTCATGTTCAGGTTCATATTAGTGTTTAGTGCCTCTAGTACTGAGACATGTTTTACAGTGACTCAGAGAGAGAGCTTGCTTAAAGACTTCCAGTAACCAGCTCTCCTATCAACTAAGAAGAGACTCTATTCATGGACTGAAGCTCCACTGGGGATATAGTTTTTCTTTGCCCGCTCATAGAGTCCTATTGTGAACCCGGAAATGTTGAGTACCCCAAAGTTTTATGTTAGAAATGTAAGTAGGGTCCCCAGCACATATAAACTGTTGGATGCTAACCTGCATATGTTGGGCAATTTGGACAATTAGCATAAATTGTGTTAATTAGCATTAATTGCCATTATAGCCATGTGGACAATCTTTAGAGAATAGAGAATAGAGAATAGAGGAGGGGGTGCTAGTGGAGCATCTGCGTGATCTGCCTGTAGGGAGGGACGGCCCTGACAAGATATAAAGCAAGGTATTATATTTACATGACGGATGGAATATATAAATGTAAATGTACAGTGAAGAGAAAACATATAATAATAATAACCCCCAAAAACACTCCAAAATCTTCTAAATCGGCCAAGCCATTTTTTTTCTAATGTCCACGTAAGCTATAATTCCATTAATGCTAATTAATGAAACTTTGCCCAACATATGCAAGTTAGCATGTGCTGGAGACCCCACTACACATTTCTAACTTTGGGGTATTGAACTTTTCCGGGTTCACTACAGTATGCTAACGACTACAAATAATCTAAGTTGTAAAATACAAATGCTGCCCTCTCCCGTGGTTGAGCTTTTAGTCCGATGTTTTGTTGCTGTTCAGCTTCCGTCTGTTGGACGAGCAGAAGGACGTGCTGATTCTGATTTTTCTTGAGGACATCCCGGCCCACCAGCTGTCTCCATACTACCGCATGAGAAAGCTGCTGAAGAAACGCAGCTACCTGAGCTGGCCGCAGGCCGGACAACACACCGGAGTCTTCTGGCAGAACGTGAGGAGAGCTCTGGAGGCGGGGGGCGCTGCCACTGAGACCACCCACCTGCTCACTGGACCAGCAGCACGCTGACCATCTGGACCCGGGAGGTCACTGACAGGTCACCCTAATAGACTATGCAACTTTAGCACACACTGCATCGCATCAGCTTGTATCACAATGTCAGGTTGTTATTGTAGCTGTCACATGGCAGAGGATTTTATCTGGTTCATTAGCAGTGCATGGTTTTTAGTGTGTTTTTATACTTTACCTTTTGGTTTGATTTTATGGCACGCTTTTATTTTAAAGTCTAACATGTTTTAGTTTCACATGTATTACCTTTTATGGCCTGCTTTTATTTTTGAAATATATAATGCTATGTGATTTTATTGTAATAACCATAAGCCTTGTTGATCACCTAAAAATGCCAATATTCACGGACACCTGGGAGCCAAGATTAGCATGGGAGGGAATGGCTTTTAAGCAGACACACGGCAGACACCAGCCGACACAGGGAGGAAAAAGAAGAAGGACAGGGAGGAAGGAGGAGGATAAAGAGGAGGACAGGCGAACAAGGGCAGAGTCAGGAGAGGATGAAGGCAAAATAAACCCACACGTGGAACCAATATTTTTGCTTAATTTATATTGTAGGCTATGTTGGAGTCAGTGTTTTAGAAGAGATTTTAGTAGAGATACATTATTATTTATACTTAATATGATTGTGAAGCTCCTTGATGCCAGGGTTGCTCTCCATGTGATTAAAATAATCCTTTGCTTATTACATAGCCAGATTACCGTATGTATATGTATACTGAAGATAATAAAAGGTGTGATTCCTCTTGATTACATTTAACCGTGTGCCTCTCAGATGTTTCAATACATTCTGTTAACAGAGCTTTGAATTGAGGTGCACAGAACTTGTGTGTTGGATCAGATGTGTAGTGATGAGGTTCCATCATTTAGTTTAAGACAAGGTAAGATCAAATAATTATTTTGTGATGAGGTTGTTCCAGCAGCAGCACAACAGCAATATCGAGAATGTCAATAAATACATAAAATAAGTATACAACATCTAGGAATAGGAATCAAAGTAGAAATATACACTATAAGAGCAAATAGTATAGCAAAATTGCATAGCATCTGAACCTCCATAAACCTATAAAGTACCTAAAATGTGTTCAACTGAAACCCTGAAACTGTTACCAGATTTCAGTGCCCCCCCATACATGTCTCATATGGCCACAGATGGGGCCACTGTGAACCTTTATGATATTAATCAAGGCTAAGACTATATTTTACGAATGTCAGGTGTTCTATTTTGTGGTATAGAGGCTAATATCAATATGAGTTATGAATATGATAATAGAGTAAATGCATCACTGATATACTTTAGGTTCTTATTGTATGCTTAATGTTACGAATACTGTACTGTGATGTGCATATCATAAAACCTTTGCATATAACGTCCTGTATTAATATGTACTGTATTATGTAAATGTATAAACATGTGTAAGGCTGTTCGCTGTGCTTCAAAGGGAATCCTTATCTTTTAATAAAGCTTTCATTTGAAGAAGTATAGCGAATCCGCACACAACTTCTTGGTTTAAAAAAACACCAACAGGAAACCTTTCTGTTTATAAAGTGTGACTTCTGTACTTCCTTTATCAGCTCTCACTGAGGAGGCACAGTATATCCGACCTGATGGAGCGCTGCTTATCACCGAAGACACGGACCCGTCTCTGCAGCAGCAGCAGTTGCTAGCAGTGCGAGGCCCCCATTGAAGGAGAGATTCAATCATTAGCATGATTATGACAAACAGTTTCGAAATTTGTAAGTGCTAGTTCTCTCACCA